CAATCAATCAATCAATCAATCAATCAATCAATCAATCGATAAAAAAAAAATAAAAAATCAATCGATCAATCAATCAATCAATCAATCAAGCAAGCAAGCAATCAATCAATCAATCATTTAATCAATCAATCAATCAATCAATCATCAATCATCAATCAATCAATCAATCAATCAATCAATCAATCAATCAATCAATCAAATTTGTTTTTTCTATTTTTTTAATTTATTTTTTTAACATATCAAAAATCACCCCCCCCCCTCAAATTTTTGATTTTTTTTTTTTTTGCATAGGCCTGCAGCGGCCGACGTGCGCAGGCCAACCGCACGCTCTGATTTTGAGGGCGCGCGCCCGCCTGCGTGTGGCGCGGCCAAGGGCGGACTCGGCCGCGCGGCCTAGGCCGAGGGCCTGCGGCCTAGGATCCTGGCCGCGGACTCAGATCCTGCTCAGGAGAGATAACCTTGGGTGTATCGATGATGAAGTGACAAAAGGAGTTGAATATGAGTCATGGAGGTGTAGACTTTCTCGGGGGGCTTGTGGTTGGGTCGTCGAGAGAGGGCATCCTCAACGCGGTTGCTTTTGCTGGGGGTATGACAAATGGTGAATGTGAATTGGGCAAGGAAGTCTAGCCAGCAGGCTTGGCGTGGAGTGATATCTTTCTTGAAGAGGATGGAGGAGACGATGGTGTTGTCAGTGCGGTTGGTGAAGTATTGGCCGTCGAGGTACGGACGCGAGACTGTGAGGGCGTGAATCACGGCGAGGAGTTCCTTCTCGTTGCAGGGGTAATTCATCTCCGCAGGAAGGAGTTTCTTGCTTGCGAAGGCGATAAGGTATTCGCCGGGTGGACCCTCGGGGTGAGTGGGCGAGTCCTTGATGGAGGTGGTCTTGGCGGTGTCGCGGGGGAAATGTTGGGACAGTACGGCTCCGATGGCGAAGTCGGAGGCGTAAGTGGTGACATAGAAATGGCGAGTGGCGTCGGTGATCTTGAGGACAAGGGTCGTGGTGATGGTTTGTTTGAGTAAGTCAAAAGCGTGTTGACGACGATAGTTCCAATGGAAGGGCTCGTCCTTGTGGGTGAGTTCGTGGAGAGGGTAAGAGATCTCGAAAAAGTTGCGAATGAATAGGCGGTAATAGTTGGCAAGGCCGAGGAAGGAACGGAGTTGGAGGAGGGTCTTGGGTGGGGGGTACTCGACGAGGGCTGTGACCTTCGAGGGGTCCATAGGGATGCCTTCAGTGGAGACAATATGGCCGAGGTATTCGACGCTCGAAGCGGGAAATGTACATTTTCCGAGCTTGGCGTAGAATTTTCGAGGATTGAGAGGACTTGGCGGAGGTGCTGAAGGTAGGACTCGAAGGTGGGGCTGAAGACAAGGATGTCATCAAGGTAGACGACGACACAGACTTTGAGGAGGTTGCAGAAGATGTGGTTCATGGTAGATTGGAAGGTAGCGGGGGCATTGGTGAGTCTGAATGGCATCACGAGGAACTCGTAGTGCCCGAACCGAGAGCGAAAGGCAGTGTTGTGGGTGTCCTCCTCGCGGATACGAATCTGGTGGAAGCCACTGCGAAGATCGATCTTGGTAAAGTACTTGGCTCCACAGAGACGATCAAGGAGCTCTAAAATCCGAGGTAAGGGGTACTTGTTCTTGATCGTGATCCGGTTCAAGGCGCGATAGTCTGTGCACATGCGGATTTCGGAAGTTCCACCTTTCTTGACGAAGGCAGCTGGTTCCGAAGGGGATTGAACTTGGCTTAATGAACCCTTTTTCAAGGAGTTCACCGAGTTGCCACTTCATTTCTTTGGCTTCGGGGACAGAGAATTGGTATGGAGGGCAACAAGGTGGAGAATGTCCGAGTTCCAAATCGATGGTATGCGATACGCCACGATCCGGAGGTAGTCCGGCGGGTAAGGACTCGGGAAAGGTGTTCCTGAACTCGTCGAGGATTGAAGTGATGGCGGGGTTGGAGGGGGGGCCTTGATCGGGTTTGTCCATCGGGAGTAAGTCCTTGGGACTTTCGCGATCAAGGACAAGACAGTAGTAGGCGGAGTCGGGGTTTAGGCGAGCCATGTGGAGGAATTGGTGCAGGGTGACCGAGCCTTGGAATGTCGGATATGGGAGATAGGGGATGTCGATGGTTGTGTCGGGGGGGTGGTGAAGCGAAGGAAGTTGGGGTGGAATGCGTATGGCATGTAGCGGTCCAGCCACGGGGTTCCTAAGACGATGTCGCACATCAAGTGCATGACATCAAACGAGACCTGACTGCGGAGGGTTCTGACAGTCATGACGGTCTTGGGAACCGTGCGCTCTACTACGACGGCGGTGTCCTTGTCCCCTAGGCGAATCGTGATCGGGGAGTCATAATGGGTAGAGGTAAGACCGACTTTGCGGACACACGCGTCGGTGGTGAAGTTACCGGTGACTCCAATGTCGTGGAGGGCCCGAAACTTAGTTGTAGATGCACCAAGGGTGGCAGCGATGAATTTGAGGTGGAAACGAGATGAATTGGCGGTGGAGATGATGGTGTTGAGGCGGCGTTGTTCGTTGCCTAAGCGGACAAGCCGATCGTGTCGGGCTTGTTCCTCAACAATATCGGAGAAGGTGATAGTGGATGAATTTGGAAGAAGGGTAGAGGAGCATGAGGCAGTGGGAGGCGTCTGCGACGCCTGGGAGTCGTTCGGTGGAGGGGGCGTCGCCAAAGAGGGGGGAGGCAAACGAATTGTCGATAGCAGATGGGCCATCTGTGGGACGGAGGACGTCACCGATGGGTGGGCCGACAGACGCGATGTCGATGCCGGGTCAGTGTCCAGGGGATTGTGTTCATGATGAGGAGGGACCCGCGCTTGCTGAGGGCGGTGATATGGAGGTTGCGGGTCGAGTGGAGGCGGACAAGCGGGTGAATCGTGTGGTGTTGGGGCAGTTGGTTTGTTGGTGCCCCAATTGGCRACAACGGAAGCAACCCCCTTTTGCTTGGAGGTAGGTGCGCTCCTCGGGCGTGAGTTTCTTGAGGCGGGCGGGTTGGGTAGATGAGGGTGGTCGGGAGCTGCGATCTCTGCGCTCCATTCTCATGAAYTGGACGACATCGAGTTCCTCGGAAGTGAGGGATGAAGAGTCAAGTGAATCGAAAGTTGCGTCGGGGTCAGGTGTGGTGAACTCGTCTGAGGAAATGATGGAGGTGATGTCTTCGGGGGTGATGTGGTGGAAAAAGCGGGTGCGGGAGGTGCCAGGCGGGGGCTGGTGGTGGGGGTGGAGGAGTCGATCGTGGTAAAGCATATGAGAGAGGAGGTCAGCAAGGGGCATGTCGGGTTCGTGGGCGAGGGCGGTTGCAAGGTCTTTGTGGCATACTCGTTTGATGCGAGAGATGAACGCAAAGTCGGGAACGATGGTGTGGGGCAGGTGGTGGCGGAGGGAGCGGACGTATTGGACGAAGCGCTCCGTGGGACTGGTCTGGCGGAGGTGGCAGAATTGTTCAAGGTACTCGTCAAATGGTTTTCTGGGGGCAGAAGGTGGGAGTGAGGGGGTTGGCCCATTGGAGGAAGGTGTGACGTGGTCCTCTGGAGGCTCGACGGTTGCCTACTTCAGCCATCCACCATTTGGCTGCGTTGCCGAGGAGGCGGGAGGTAGCAATGGGGAGCCAGTGGGCAAGGGGCATGTGGTGGAGGTGAAAAGAGTTTTGAAGCTGGGTTAGGAAGAGGAAAACATCCTCGTGGGGGAGTCCGGAGAAGAACATGATTTCGCCAGATCGGAAGGAACGGGGGATTTCCCCGTCGCGGTGAACGATCTGCGCGAGGGTGTTGAAGTTGAGGTTATCGGGGGTGGTGTCGTAGCAGGTGTGGTCGATTTGGTTGTTGTCCTCAAGGAGATAGTTGGGGGGGAGTTGTGGCATTGCGGGGTAAACCCTGGAGGTGACTTGGGAATAGGTGGGACGGATGGTGGGGATGGTGGAGGTGGTCATGATGGGTTGGGAGAGGGTTTGGGAGTGCGGGGGGGGAAGAGGGGTAACGTGGATGGGCGAGGAATGAGGCGGTGTGCTGGATGCGCCGGATGAGGGAGGAGGTGGAGGGAACAGAACTATGGTGGAGGTTGAAGGGTTGGTGGATGTGGTGGTAGAGGTTGTAGGAGTGGAGGAGGTCGGCGGGGGGGTGTTGCTGGAGGCGGCCGTGGAGGAGGGAGTGGTTTGCACTTTGGAGGATGAAGTGGTTTGCGCTGTGGAGGAGGGAGTGGTTTGCGCGGTGGTGACGGCCGTGATGGAGGGGATGGTCTCTTCGATCGTGGTTACGAGATCGGATATGGATGACATGTTGGCCTTTATGTCGTCGAGAGAGGCGGTGACAAAGGTTTGGAGGGTGTTGAGTGTGTGGAGGATGGCAGAGAGGTCGGGGGTGGCAGTGTTTGCTGGTTGTTGTTCGCCTGCGAGGTTGCGGGCGATGCTATCGACTGAGTCGGTGCGGATGTCAGACATGTTGATGGAGGATGCGGCCATGTCGGGGGAAGGGGGGGTGAAGGACGTGGCCTGAACGGATGTGGAGGATGCAGCAACAGCGGTGGCGGTGGCAGCAGCGGTGGCGGCGGCAGCAGCGGCGGCGTCGGCGACACGTTGGGAGTTATTGGTTTGGCGTGGTGGCATGTGGAGATGAGGGGAGACAATCCCTTATAAATTCGAAAATAAATGAATAAATAAAAATAATTGGCAAGATTTTTCAAAAAATAAACGCTGAACAGAAAGAGATAATTAATTTCGAAAGAATAAATTCTGATTAAGATTTAAATTTATTTACAAGAAAACGTGAAATTTTGAAAGAAAGTATTTTCAAATTACAGGGAAAAAAAATATATATGAAATGAATTAGGAAGAGGAAATTTTTAAAATATTTGGCAAGAATTTTTCAAAAGAAAACGTCGACATTTCAGAAAAAGGATAATGAATTTCGAATAAAGAGATTAATTCAGTCGTGAATTAATTGAATTTAGTCGAAATTAATTGAGGGGTTTAGAATAACATTTTTAAAAGAAAAGTACTTCCGAATTGTAAAAAGAGTTTCGAATTTCAACAAAAATTGCGAAAAGAAATTGTGAATTAAAATATTGGGAAAAA